CCTTAGTTACTGAGAATGGAACTGAAATATTTTGTTGCGTCCATCCTGGGACATCGTGGCTCTGTCTTAACATTGAATTTATAGTTATGAATATTCTTTTAGATGGTCCTCTGATTGCCAGAAAATGCATTACCTGGAGATCTCAAGAAAGTAAAGTCATGCTGTATCCTCTAGATATTTTTAGTTCATGGCTTGTCGAGCTAGGCGCTGTCTCTTGTTTACATTTTCGTAGAACAGTTAAGTAATGATTTTACGGAGGATTTTACAGTATGTTGATTTGTCTTTACCTAGATTTATTTTCTCCGGTAAAATAGTTACATGTGATGATAATGATAGTGATAATGTCTTTATTCATTTGATAAAAATGCATATCAAAAGTTACAAAGTAAAATTTGCTGGAATATCTAATAGGCACTCACAATATCAAAACTTGACTAAAAATGCTTAATTAAAATCATTAAATAGATAAGAAATTGAAAAGTCTTCGGAAATTGAAAAGTGACTGTATTTGAAGAAGAGCCTCGGAGAGGACACGAATAGTGAATTTAAAAGAGACGAACAGGTAGTTAGTACCTTCGCTTGTTAAGCTGTGCCCAACACCCACCCCCCTCCCCCTGCCCTCTTTATATCTTATATACCGACAGAACTTAATTATGCACCTCTCCGAAAATGAAAAAAAAAAAAAAAAAGAGGAAACCAAAAGCTGTGATAACAAGCCAAAGGAAACTTGTGAAGTTTACTAGCTCGAATTCTGCCGTCCCCCTGTCGACCTTCGTTCATCCCCGATATTGAGTTTGGGGTAAAAGCGCTGGCTCCTTTCCGAATCAGTGGGCCAACGAATTTATGGGAAAAGATTCCTTTGGCATCTTGTCTTTGTCCATAGCCTGGCTTTCGTCAAAGAAAAATTTCCACTTATGCGTGTCACAAAAATGACAGTCATTTGGTTGCTTATTACATACAACCCCCCATTTAGTAAGTGATTATAAATACTATGACAAACTTCAGTTTGGTCCTACCAAGAAACAAATTTTCCACAACTTGGTACGAGATGAAAGAAATCAAGGTGCTTATTGGGTCTGTTGGTACTTAATTCCAACAGAATTCGTTCTAACTGAGATAATAGTTATCAAAGAACGTAAAAATTCAAACCTGTGTAGCTTCCCACGCTCAGTTTGTATTTCTCTCCCTCACTCGCCACTTCAAAGAAATCGTATTCGGCGTAATAGGTGTTCCCATCAAAGTCTTCCAGATCAACACGAAGCTTATATCTTCCACTGCTAGTCAGACGGTGTATCTCGTCAAGCCCGAGCCAAAATTCACCAGTCAGAGATCCAAAGCCACGTTTGTACTCGGTCCAGCCTCGGTAGAAATCCACCGAGCCGTCCAGTCTCTTCTGGAATACTAACCACCCTCCTCCGGCTTTTGTTTGGTCACAGAACACTTTAATGATCCCTGCACCATCTGGGTTGATCGTATAAACACCGCTTTTCCTTTCTCCAGATTTGTAACTGTCAGCACAGCCTGTGGAAACTGTGGAGCAAAATATGTCAAGGTTCGTCGTCGTAAGTTTTACTGTGGTGATGATTTAGGAAAATCGTATTATTAGTATTTTATGTAATCATATCTGAAACATGGCATCCTTATAGAACTTATAATTTGCCTCGTCTATACATGACTAGACACTATCTCCACAAGGAGGGGTACGCAGCTTGAAGTGAATGTCTACAGAAAGCCAACACATACAAACCGCTTATCGATTTCAGTTCTCACCACCCCACGTGCCATAACAGATCTGCAGTCAGTACCTTGCTACGCGGGGCCCAGAACATACCATCAACACAAAAAGGGAACCGCGAAGAAACGAAACGAGTCAAGACTGTACTGCGAGACAATTATTATTCCTCATCCTTCATCAATAGCTGCGAAAGATCACTGTCGAAACTCCCAACTGATGTTACATCCAATGGTTTTGTGGCGCTACCCTATGTACAGGGCATTTCGGAAAGGATTAGTCGAATCTTAAGAAGAAATGCACAGAAAAATCAAGCAAAAATGCAAAAATTGCGGCCACGGTCAATGACACCAATCTTAAGTTTGAATTTGTAATGAGGTATTAACAAGTTTTCAAAGGTTTCGGTTTTTTTTCTCAAAATGCAGCCAGATTTTCGAATTATTTGAGAAAATCGATTTTCGCACTCTCGTTGGCGAAAAATAGCAGAATAATTAGCATAAATTGGCATTCGCGTAAAAGTCTTTGCGTAAGTAGTAAAGCCTATATGATGGGTAAGAAAGAAACTAATTTAAAAGGAGAAGTATCTGACACCTTATTTATGCCTACGTTTTGGTTCTAGATGATGGTTGTTGCTACGAGAAAACACATCCTTTGAAAAGGCTCCACCACAGTCTCAGCAAATCGAGTTTCACTTCATAATTACAAACCGACTATTCGATATGTGGCTATTGTTCAATTGGGCTCGTTTTTTGGCTATAACGTGTCTAAATGCTCTCCTTACATATCATATAAAAATTAGTCTGAGTTTTTAAGCGAGCGCTTTTTAAAACGGCTTCGAAAATTAAGTAATTTCACTAAAATTTGAAGCAATTACGGGATTCCCAACACTTGACAGTTCAGTACAAAAACGTATTGTCAGGAATCTTCCGATTGTTTCTAACATAAGAGATTTTCCCGATAATATTCACGTTTGAACGACCAACAGACTCGAATCACTTCACCATTTTTTAATTTCCCAACTCGAAGGAAATTAGGAAGATTACAATCGCTAGATCACACGACGACTCGCACACGGCTTTTTTGAAATCCTAAACTTACATCACGTGATTACAGCTTATCACTAAGCAACAAGAACAAAAAGGAACAAAGTTCACTTCCACCACGTGACAGTCACGCAGTCCATTTTCTAACAATCTCCCCCCATTTGTCTCGAGAGAGCAAATGTCTTAGAGGCTATCTTAATCTGATCAGTAAACAATACTAAAAAAATGAAAATCACAATAAACGAAAATAAAAACAGTCTCTCTAGTTTTCATCATCCATTTGTGCAAGTTCCTGGATACGAGCTCTGGCAGCAACCGCAGCGTTTCTTCGTGGTCTCAAGGCTTTCACAGTAGGGTTCAGAGCTGCTGGTGCCACTGTCATGTCACAGGTAAGTTCAAGTGGATATAAATGCTGCACTGGGCGCTCAATGACTGACTTGGGAGTGCGTAGCTTTGCTCCTCGGACCACACCATCTTGGCCAGTTATCAAGTCGATCAAACTCCCAACTTCCACTGACCACAGTTTTTCTCTTCGGACTTGATAATAACCACATCTCCTACCGCTGGATGGGTACTGTCACCCTTGTGCTTTAAACGATTTCTCTCCCGGAGCCCCCTCAGGTATTCTTTGGTCCAACGGGACCACACTGCATCTTTACACTTGCCCAAGTACTTTGCACGCTTTCGGAGGTCATTGCCTTGGATGTGGTTTGGCTCCAACTCTGGCAGTGCGTTCGGTTGCATGTGCAATAGAGAACTTGGGGTAAGGATAGGCAGGTCGATGTCATCCTCCACATAATCTAGTGGCCTGTTGTTAAGGGCAACTTCTACATCTAGCAGCACTTCTTGGAGTTCTTTCCACGACAGCAAACCATTTCCGATAGACTTGTACAGGGATCCTTTAACCAGCCCGATCAATCTTTCAAACTGGCCGCCCCACCAGGGCGCACGACTGAGATTGAATTTCCACTCGATCCCTTGCTGGGTGAGGAACCTATAGATCCTCTCATCTTTCATTACTAGCTCAATCCATTTGGATGCACTGACGAATGTTTTGCCATTGTCAGAGTAGATCCGCTGCGGCCTCCCGCGTCGGGCAATGAAGCACTTCAAGCTTCTGATGAACTCAGTGGTCTCAAGGTTTGGCGCAAGGTCTACATACACGGCACTTGTAAGGCTGCAAGCATACAGTGGGATATACGCCTTTCCTTCAGTTTTTGATTTCTTCCGGTACCTCAATGGTCCCGCAAAGTCCACACCAATAACTTGGAAGGGTATTCGGCCCACTGTGCGATCCCTTGGAAGGTTCCCTGGTGAGGAGAGGTATAAGCCTGCGCCCTGAACCGCCGACATCCATGGCAAGACTTCACGATCTTTTTAGTTAATCATCTCAGCGTGGCACCCAGTAGTACTCTCGCACTTTCGCCATCGTACTCCCGACTCCCCCGTGTAGCACTGCAACATGGGCCTGGGCCACCAACTTCTCAGTGTACTGTTGTCCATCTGGTAGGAATATCGGGTAGTGGCCCTGACCTCTGCCACGGCATTCCAGTACTCCATCTCTGTTTGGCTGTAGGTTCAGCTGCAGCTTGTCTTCTTGGTATCGCCCATCAGCAGTAGCTTGCGCATGTACTCGCTTCACCCAAAAGAGCTCTGCTTTCTTCGTTTCGTCTGCGGTTAGCGGGCCCTCCAGCCTCTTGGACTTCTTGGCACGAGAATTCTGGGTGAATCGAATTATCCATGCGGTCACTCGGATTGTTTTCCACTGGCTGAACTTCTCAAGGAGGCCATCCAGCTCGTCTGCCACCGCCACTGCCACTGCTAGCATGTTTCGTTTCGCTTTAGCTTCTGCCAATGATTCTTGTGTGGCATTCCTCACTATGTCAGGGGGCCAGCATGTTTTTTCTGACAACCACTCTGGTCCGTTTCACCACAAGGCATGGTTGGTCGCTTCTCCGCTTCGGCTTCCAACATCAGCTGGGTTGTCTGACGTTCTCACGTGATGCCACAGTACATCAGAATGCGCTTGAATCTTCTGAACTCTGTAGCTCACAAACTGTTTGTACTCTCCTGGTCATCTTATCCAATGCAGGGCAACGGTGCTATCGAGCCAACCGTACTTCATGGTTACAGGAAAGCCTTCTAAAGCTTCATTCACATTTGACAGGAGATTTACCGCCATGTGGCCAGACACCAACTCTAACCGAGGTATGATTAATCCCTTCTTCGCTAATCTTGCCCTTGATACAACTAGCCCTTGGTTGACACCCTTCTCTTGCACCACTACAGCATACACCGCAGCAGCCACACCTTTCCCACTAGCATCCCCGAAGGCGTGTAACTCAATGGTTTGGGTGTCTTCTTGATGTGCTGCTAATGACTGGGGTACGGTAACATGGCTTGGAAGTTTCTCCTCCCAGCGGACCCAATTTTGCATCAGGTTGCTTGGCAGTTTAGCATCCCAGGCTAGTTTCGAATCACAGATATCACTGTACAGGAATTTTCCATCCAGTGTGTATGGTGACACTAGCCCCAGTTGATCGTATATCTTGGCCACTTTACTGAGAATCCCCCGCTTTGTTGGCTCGGTGCTCTCTGATGGAAATTTAACGCTGATGGTATCGCTTTCTTTGTTCCACTGCAGACCGAGTAGAGAAGTTCCCTCCTTTCTTGAGGTACCTAACTGTTCCTTAGCATACGTTTCCTCTTCTGAAACTGGTACTGAACATGCTGTCTCCAACTTCTTCACGTCTGAGTGCCACTTGTGCAACTCAAATGTTCCTTTAGCAAATATCTCCACAGATGCTGACTTAATTGTTTTTGCCTTGGCCTGAGTGGGCCCTCCACTGATAAGTCATCTACATAAAGGCTTTTCTCAATTTCACGAACAATCCCTGGGTACTTCTCTCTGCAGCTTTCCAGGAGATGTTGTACGACTCCCCGGAGGGAAATGGTGAGCAGGTAAGGCCAAAAAGGGCTCTTGTGAACCTAGAGGCTTCTACTGTCTGGCTGTTCAGATCTCTTAACCAATGAAACCTTTGCGTGTCACGGTCCTCTTCTCGGATTCTAGCTTGGAGAAACGCTTGTTTGATATCTCCTGCAATTGCAACGGAGTGGAAACGAGCACGGACCAAAACAGTCCACAACTGATTTTGAAGGGGAGGCCCAGGATTTAAACATTCATTCAACGAAGGTGCTCCAGAGTTTGCTCGAGCGGATGCATCGTAAACGACACGAAGCTTAGTGGTTTCTGGCGATTCACGCACCACTGGTTTGTGTGGGATGTAGAACTCCCGACTCTGGGTCACAGGTCCAGAGACTCTTTCAACTATGCCGGCCTCGATCTGATCCTGTATGACCTGATCATACTGCTCAATTGTTCCTTGGCTCCGTAACTTTGTCACAAGATTCGCCAACCGTCGAAGACTTCCTACTTCATTGCTGGGAAGGGGAGGATGGTTGCCTCTCCATGGAAGGCCCGTCTCATACTATCCTTCTGCATCTTGTGTCAACTGCTTTTTGAACTCCGCATAAACTTCAGCTTGGTCACTAGTGGGCGAATCAGCTAGGCACAGTACATCTAGCTTACACAAGTTGTCATAGTCCACGTGTGAAGTCTGTGTGAAGAACACTGAAGACAAATCCACTTCCTTTCCAGGAGACATTATGGTCCAACCGAACTTGGTCTTCTCTCCCATAGGCTCACCTAGGGTTCCAACACGGGGTGTAGTTTCGGTCTTGATTTTGGCACAATC